AACCCTGTGTGGGTCCTAGCCTCCCCAAGAATTCTCTTCCAGTCGTCCCTATCCATCGCCTTCCTCCGCCAAGCACGTATTTCCATATTTCTCATATATTGGTCTATGTTATCTAGGAATCTTGTTCTGGGTCTTCCTCTTTTTCTTTGACCAATAGGTCTATCAAGGAGCGTTTTTCTAGCTGGGTCGGTTTGCTCCATCCGCATTACATGGCCTACCCACCTCAGACGTCCTATCTTAATGTGTTTTACTTGCATTGCTGTTCTATGTTCATTTCTTACAATTTCAACATTGTAGATTAGTTTCAGTTCCTTTTCTGAAAAGTTATTTTAAGGTTTATTTGATAACTAAGTCAAAGTTTTCTAGGGTTAATATATTGTATTCATTATATTCCATTCATGTGCTTCCCCTGGCCTGATTATGCTCATCGTACCTTCTTTTTCGTTAATTAGTTGAAACAAAAATGAAAAATAGGTAAAATTTATTTGAACAAAACGTGTACATATATATATATATATATATATATATATATATATATATATATATATATATATATTATATAGTAGAAAATATAACAGTAGTATCTACAATAATGCACATAAAACATACATATACATAAAAAATCATATTTATGTAAATAGAAAAGTAGAAAGCAATAGTTCACGTGTAGAAATTTCTCACTGGGTGACTTAACAACACTGTTTCTACCTAACAATAACAACCCACCAAAACAAAAACTTATAGTAAACGTTAACTTATACATATTTTTATAAAATGTGATATATTTTGTCTAAATATCAGTTTATCAAAATAATGTCAATCAATATCATTTATTACAATTAATAATAATCAAAAATTCACACCACACAAAAGGCAACATGGTTTTGCAGAAAATATTATAATAAATTTCGAGGATATACGGGTAAATTACACTTGAATCTCCATGAAATTGTGCAATCCATATTTCAGAAGTAGAATATAGTACAGAAAATTGGGAGAATAAAAATCTATAGACCAAATTCCGAGTAGCATGGTAGGGAGAGAAGTGCTCAAAGGCCTAAAAATCCGCAGGATATCCTGCATCTAATGAAGTGAACCACAATATGAAAATGTACATTTGCCAAAAATGAAAGAGTATATTTTTATATATTTGGATAAAAAATCAAACTGCCAACAATCGAATTTAAACGTTAAACCTGATGAGATCACCAACCTATTCTTCCGACTTTTTACACAAACTTTACTTTTACGTAATAGTACAGAAAAGTATGTAGAAAAATTAAGTTTAACCAACTTCACTATCAAAACTCTCTGTTTGTATATGGTCACAAAGACTGTGTTAGTCATTGAGACCAGTCGACCAGCGAGCGATAAAGGTGGCAAAAATTTTCGGCTCGAAAAGCGTGACCTTGACAAATATAATAATAATTTAGACATCCCTTGCAATTCTTGGAGCAAAATGTTTAATTTTGGGTACAACCCCTCCACCATCAGTGATAATTTGGCAAGCTTACGGAATGGAAAATCATAGGGAAGCAGAGACAAAATATATTGAATTAAGACTAGAATACATAGAGAAATAAATATATTTTTCAAATAAAACGCTCATTTTATGCACGTATGAACTCTTGTTTTTGTGTATAGAAAAGAGTAAAGAAGAAATCTCTATCCAAAAATATATCATTGGTCGTACTTTTTGACTTCATACTAACTACAAAACCGAGAATACTTGGATAATTTGATCAAAATAACAAATATGTTGAACATTGAGTCTTTGCTTTTACACTCATCAGTCTTTCATATAAATTTAGATTATACTGAATATAGTCATTTATTTAACTTATATCTATTTTATCATTAGTTTTGGTGAGTGAATATAAACATTTTATATTTCCAACGTATAAACTAAAGAGAGCTCCTTGTATATCATTCTAGTTTCAAATAATAAAAAAAAGTAACGATTTTCTTGTAATTTGTTCATTTTCATCTATACATGTTAAATGCGTTGCACTTTAAGGAACTTTCTTGTATTTTAATACTTAAAAACTAGCTCTGGCACTTACATTTGTTCCTGTACAGAATAAATCATCAAAAACATTAATACTATTTACTTAGATATTTCCATTTTTACAAAGATTTTGTACACTACTGCTACTTTGTAACTAAAACAGCAGTAAATAAATTGGTTTTTTTGTAAATATTTCTCAGAACCGTATGATTTCTATGAAAACGCTAATATGAATGCATCATTAACAAGCTAGGACTAAAAATAAATTTAACGGCAAGGCATCGCATTGGTTAAAACTGGTAGAGTACTCAGGTAGCGGGCTCGAATCTGACCGGGCACGAAAAGAACATTCTTATCTTTATCCAACTGATACCTGCTCATGGCCTGCAGTCAAATATAAGTAGATATATGAGCAACGGTACAAGCCATAAGAAAGGATCAAATAATAAAGTGAGTTAGACTCAATTGCAATGAACTAAATACTCTTGCCAAAAAGTTCAAACCCTTCAAAAGGTCCCAACCACAGACCACTAATAACTAGACGTTTCACGTAGGTAGCTCAAGGTCAAATTAAACTTAATGTCATTTGTAGTACCGATACTAATCTTCAGATGTCGCTTTACTCTGTCTCTACTTTTACTCTGCAGTTTAGGTTTAGAACACAACTAAGAAAAGAATTATAATTGTCAATCGCCAATTGTCATATTAGCGTCTATATTTTGATTTTGTTTAGTGTTAGTTTGTAAATTACAAAACAAATCACCTACCTCAGTGATCTACGTTTTAAATGTTCCTGGCGGTGTTCAAATAGTATTTTGCAGATTAATAATAATCAGTTAAATATGGTTTTTCACAATAAATGTTGTATCCTACAATGTACTAATTCGTCATTAATTAGACATACCTTTCCAAATCCACGATGAAGACATTACACGATTTAGGAAGTGGCTTAGTGTTATAAATAATCCTAATTTAGATGATGAATGCTAGTACAGTTTATAAAACAAAACGAATCTGCCACAGACACTTTGAAGATAAGTTTGTTTCTTCATGGAGTCATAAATTGTATAAAAATGCAATTCCTAGCTTACATTTGTATGGTGAGTCCAATAAATATTTGATATTAGAGAACAAATAACTGATTGATGAACTTAAATCTGCAACTTCTTTCCTTGAGTTCCGTAAAAGAACAAAATCCTATCTATCTGAAAGATCATATTATTCAGTAGAAGAGTTTCTTAACGAATAGTGTTATGTACAAGTAACTAAACAATTTGTATAAATATATATTTGAGTATCACATGCAGAAACTTATATTAAAATGTATTAGTTCGTAAGGATTTATTATGCAATTTATTTAAATTTTGCAATACATTGTGTATTTTATTATTTTTATTTTGTGATATTGACGATTTATGTAATTTCAGTAAATTTTAAATTGCTATTTTTCTGACTTTTTTGTAAGCTTTTTCCATAAAATTGTACAATTTTCAGTGATAATAGCATATTTTTATTCTATATTAAATTACAAAGTTGTTTTACAAGTATTAAATAAATAAATAAATTACATTTTGTTTTATTTTTCCTAAATTGTATTGTGTATATTTGAAATTAAAAATGTCATGCATTTTTTTTTCAAATATACCAAATTATATTTAAAAATTTTTAACTTTATTTAAATTTCCCACCAAAATTAAAATTTGAATTTCCCGCGTAATTTCTCGCTTGAATTAGTTCCGATACTAATCTTATGGAGCGCTGAATTTCATATCCAACTAAAGTATTGTCGTGGAACATCTAGGGAGGTAGGTGATCTGTGGTCCCAACTAGAATATTAGTTCGTACAGAGCTCAAAAGATGTCGTGAGGGTAGAGTCGATTGGGAGTGCATTAACGGTTACGTACTGTCTAATATAATTCAGTGACTGATCAAAACTGTAAACGAAACTGAATCAAAAGTACTAGTACTGAGCGATAAGCGACTAGTGGTCCTCGAGATAATCGAAAATATCACCTTAGGAAACTAACTTAAAAAATTATGAACTTCGATTTAAACTTTCACGTCACACTCTGCATCTCCAGAGAGCGAGCGAGAGAGACTGCGAGAGAGAGAGAAAGAAAGAGAAAGGGTAAACGAGAACAGACAACTTATTGAAATCGCGTACGACTACCTGTAAGCATGGCAACTTCAAAATTTAGATCGTTCTTATAGATCTAGATGATACTTATAGTAATTATTCTATACTTGTATAAAATATACCAGTAATATATGGGCCTTGCAGTCTCTTTTTGGAAACGAAAATCTAGTAATATATACAAAGGCAATGGACTAAGATGGACAGTACACGTGATAAATAGTAATAAGAATCGCCTTATAAACAATGTGTTTTAAAAAAGACGATATGAGAGATCTGTAGGACGGCCTAGAAAAAGGTGAAAATATGCAGATGATGATAATATAAAGTATACCAAAGAAATGAACTCAATAGCAGTTGATATAATAACACCTGTAAAGTCTTCACGCAAAGAGTTACGACTGGTAGAATCAAGGACTTAAGATGTTACCGTTACAACTATGTCAAACTAAAATGTACAGCGTTTTTAAAGGAAAAATTTGAGCGTTTTTTGAAAAAATAGTCCCCAAAAAGGTCATTTCCAATTACCACGTGATTAAAAATATGTACACATAATGTGCAAGTATGCAAAAAAAAAGAATTTTTAATTCTTTCAACAAAACCACTTTCACAAACTTTCAATAAGTCACCATTACTCTTATTCTACCGGTACATACTCATTATTGATGTCTCAAGTCTGCAGATGTTATTTTTAATAAAAAATATTACCTCATAGTTATTTCTTTTCTATTTCTATGTAAAAAACTCAACGTAACATGACCAGAAAACCTATAATCTATAAAATGGATTATGACTTATACATAGAATCTATAATATAGATAAAGTAAACGATAATTCAATAAAAATTTTACGAGTTTAAGGAACAATTAAATGATTTTATTCTGACAGGAACCTTTAAAATCTCTAAAATCTAAATAGTTCGAGTATGTAGCCCAAAATTTATCCTTAAGAGAACAAAATTTTTGCTTAAACATGCGAATAATCTTCTAACAATGATTCACCGTATCTTAAAACAATATAGTCGTGGTAGTACATCATAATACATAAAGGTTGACCTAAAATAATCGATGCCCAAAAGACTAGGTTGCCAAATCGCGGTCCGTACGCTTTTTCTATGGCCTTGGACATAAAGGATAAAGGAATTTGGCCCATCATACCCATGAAAGCCCAGATTTTGTAAGTTTTCAAAGGTACACTCACCTGAAACAAAAATGATTATAAATATTTATATATATTTAATATTTTGTAATAAACATAAACACACAAAAATTACGCTCCGGAAAAGACCTGTGCGAGAAAAGTAAAATTGATTTCGAAGCCATCTTCTTAACTCGGGAAGTAATATTTGGATTATCTGTTCTATTACAAAAATGTACAATAACATTTGGGTTACAAACAAAAGTGTGTATACTTGTATCATGACTCCCAGAAGGCTTTCGATAGATTAGAGCGTAATAGAGAGTACTTTTTAACAAATATAAAAAAGAAGGGCTTAGATAACAACGATACTCAATTCTCAAAAAAGGTATATTGGGAATAGACAGCATCCATCAGAGCAAAATTCGTGTAACCTTCTGACTTGGGTCTAGTGTTTTCAGTTCGCGCAAGCGCCCTAACATAACTTGACGACCACTTATGTAGCAGGAACCGACGGCTTAACGTGTCTTACGAAGCACGGTGGCGGCTCAGTTAAATTAGAAATTGAAAAATTGGTTGGTGTCAAATTAAAAACCTACGGTACGCAAATGACACTGTGATTATTGCTGACAACCCAGAAGCTCTTCAACAACTTCTAAAGTAGGTAATTCAGAAAGGAGATCCATTGGACCTTAAAATAATACTACAAAACGAAGTTAATGGTTATTAGTAAGAGAAATAATCAATTACCAGAAATAAGAGTATACGGGCAACACAAAGAAATTATGAACAAGTTTAAATACTTGGATTCCTGATTAGCATTGGACTTAGATCCTGATTTATATGTTAGATCTAGAATAGAAAAGGCAAGAACAGCATTAAACAAGATGAAAAATATATCGTATCACCAGTCACACAACATCAATTTATGTTTATATTTTGTTCACTGCTATGTTTACTCAGTTCTATTAAATGTCTGTGAAACTTGGACGCTTCAAGTAAACACTTTAAAGCCCTTTGAAATACTGATATAGAAGACTATTGAAATACCCTAGACGAATCATGTATGCAGAGGGAATGTTCTTTAAAGACTCGATAAAGAATGACATTTCTAACATAAAAGAGGGAAAAATTTTATAACTTAACCATGTTAAAGGAAATAGTAGAGCAAAGCTTTTGAAATTAATTATCGAAGGAAAAATAGAAGGCAAGAGGGGACTGGGAAGACGCAATAATTCGTTGTTGAAAAGTATAAGTTTGGGTTATGTCGAGATTTAGAATTTTTTGATTCTAGTATTTTTATTGAAAGAATGTTGTACATTCTCTCTAGTTATAATTTATTTTTTTTTGTTTTAAATTACTTCTTTAACTCATTTGTATTGTTTTTCCCTGACATTTAAAATTCCACACAGACGAATAAATATCTAGATTTCCTTGAAATTATGGTAATATACGTTCCTTCTCCAGGTGCCTTTTTCTAACGAAGGTTGGCGATGACTTTTACAAACTCTTGTCTATCTTGGGCCTTTCTTATTAGTGATTGGAAATCTAAACCTGTCTATTGGTTGATATTTCTTAGCCAGGTTATCTGTCGTCTGCCAGGGCTTCGTCTTCCCTTAATATTTCCTTGATTTGCCTAAGGACTAACGTTGTAACTAAATTTGTTTCTAACGTTTACCCTCTTTGATGACAGATTAGAGGTTACACAAAGAACGGTACTAGGCTCGAGCTTCAGTCTTGTAGAGGTATCTTGGTCGGGGCTCTTATTACAGCTCAAATATAAAGAATCAGTTAGAGAAGTACTGACGATACAGAGACGAGAAGTTAGAAGATAAGAGAAGAGAATTTAGTAGATAAGAGAAGGGAACCATTTGGGTACCATCCTATTTTTAGAGAAACAGGGAATTCTTAAGACATATAGAAGAAGATAACAAGAAAGGTAAGATACAGTTAAAATAATCCCGCGAGAATAAAGTAAACCGTGAGAGAAACGGTATTATGATTGTGCGGTACACACTTAATATTTAGACACATATACACTAGTTACATGATAAAACAAATAATAATATAAATCAATAAAAAGGCCTGAAAGAAATACACTTTGCACAAAAATATAAATTCATATCATAACAAAAAATAAAAAGCAAATAGTTCGTCAACAAAGTTATATTGAGGTATATTAGTAAAAAAATGCACTATAACAATTTTTACGGCACAGTTAAATGGCACGAGATAAGTGATTGCTTAATTTATAATCGAATACAACAAAAAATATCTTTTTTGGAAAATTATTCTGCATAATATAGTATTCTCGAGAATAGAAAAAAAAAACAACGAATATTAAAATTGTCAATATTCGTCAAATAAATTATTATTATGCCTTTAGAATACTTAAACATTTACTAATTTTTTTTATTTAATGTGATCACCTCAAATCTATTCATAAAATTTAACATAAATATAGCATTCATTAATATAAAAGAAATGGTTCGTAATTTATACATATATTATATCGTAAGTTTATACCCGTAATAGTTCTTTCGGTTAGTATTAACCGTAAATAACAAAGTCACTAAACTAAACGTTATTATTCAACTTCTTATGCTTTAGGTATCAAAGTTGAGCTTTAGTCAATAAAATTTATTTCTCACAATATAGTAGGCCACAGGTGGACACAGGTAGTGGCGCTCGCTTATAGATCGCTCTCAATAAAGGCACTGTACACGTGTCTTTGCAACGGGTACTGGAACGGCAGGTACAGCAACAAATTACGGTTTTCAATCCGTAATCCCTCGAATTGATTTCGGCAGACGAAAAAAAAACAGCCAGACAGGAACAGCACAGGTATTAATAGGTAGTAGAGATAAATGAAGAGACAAATGACCTTAGAGACGAATGCAGGTAGAGATGAACGATGAATAATGAATAATCGGCAAACAAAAGTGACTTCGTTCCTTCGAAGTGGAACACGTCTGTTTGACAAAAGAGAAAATAGTGAATATAGGACTCACTGTGTAAAGATATTTTATATAGATAAGGGTGAATTGAAAATACTTACCGCCGTGTGATGGAGACAAACCCCTTGATACAGAAACCACCTCGAAAATGATTTCGAATTCTGAACTTGAGCAAGCTAAAGATAAAAAGGAGTGGGAGTATAGGCACTGATTCCTTTGTTACTAGGAAAGATTTCTATTTAGCAAACGCTAAACGGAAATCTTTCCGTTTGGTGAAACAGGGAACATTTGGCGAAGTTATTTCATTGTTAAAAAAAAGCGTAACAAATCGCTCGTTGCTGTTGTGTTATTTTTACGGCTTTTAACAAAATATATAGACATAGGTGGCGTGAAAGTAATTTTCTAAGGGGAATAATTTAAAGAAATTTTAAACATGCTTCAACGTGGTCCGTCCATGGAGTCTTAAGCATAGGGCGAAAGTTTGTAGATATTGTTCGTTGCAAGAGATTAATACACAGTGTCGCCAGCACTGAATATAAAGTATACAAGAAGGAATAGAACGCAACCTGATCTAACGCCTCTTTAAATTTTTTTATAACTTCGGTTTCAGCAGCCTTTGTTCCAACAAAGGCATCCTAATTCCGGTACAGGTTTTGTATTATTTTAATGTCATCTGGATCCAGATTTTTCCGTTGTAAACATTCCATCAATTTGTCATGTTTGACTTTATCAAAAACTTTGTCATATTCAATAAAGCATAACTAGACGTATTTTTTGATCCGGACAATTCTGTATTAATACAATGAAACTAAACCATGCTTCTCGGGTTCTTAGACTATTCCTGAAACCAAATTGGCCATAGGCCCATCCCTTCCTCGCATTTCCTGTATATTTGGTTGTGAATAATTTTTAGAAATTTTTAGAAATAGCAATTTTTATATTCTCCGTTTACATTTATAAATTGTAAATAACTCTTAGTGGGTGCTGAGTAATTTGTTCTTGAAGAAATGTTATATTTTGTCTGCCATGTATTGTCATGACATCTCTCTCTCTTCAATCCTGGCCCCCCAGGGGGAGTGTAGTGGTCGACGTGATGTCGTGTATTGTTCGTCTCCAGAGATCTCTGTCTCTGGTCATTTCTTTTAATTCATGCATAGGTCTTTGTCATGACATAGCATCTTACTATTATTCACTCTACAACAAAATTGTAAGTACCAGCACTGAGAAGGGAGGTCTCATAGAATTTATAGAGAATGATGTAATGGAAATATGTAGAAAATAGACTAAAAAGGAATTGTCGCATCTAATTGTACTGTATTTATTTTCGCTGGTAAGAATATAATACACTAAGAATATTGTTTGTGTACAACAATGCCAACATCTTGGAAAACGCTTCACTTGTTCTTCTCGATGTGTGAGCCGTCGTTCCAATCCGCATGTCATCGTTCCTAACAAGTTGTGAATACGCAATACGCAGATCTACTCTATTCACTGAATTTAGTCCCAACTGTCTAGTAACGTCGAGAAGCTCTTTTTTGCATGCGAATACTCTTACAAAAGAGCATTGAGTTTAGGAAAAATATTTACGTACGTTTTATAGATTTCGAAAAAGCCTTTGATAGAGTACCACATACATTATTATTTCAATGCTTAGACTCAGTTAGTCTGGACACGTATGACATTAGATTGCTCAAAAATCTTTACTACAATCCGACCGCTTGTGTTAAGGTGGACCAAGAGGTTTCAGCTAAAGTTTCTATTAAGCGTGGTGTCAGACAGGGATGTGTTATGTCACCGATGTTGTTTAATGCCTACACTGAACCAGTTTTTGAAATAGCGTTAAATAATCGCCGCGAAGGTGTTAAGATCGGTCTTGAAATTATTAATAACAGCAGATACGCCGATGACACCGCAATAATGGCAGAGAGTCTAGAAGATCTTCAAACCCTGTTGAATGTTGTAAACAACGAATGCACTGAAAAAGGCTTAACAATTAACGCAAAAAAAAAAACAAAATGGATGGTGGTTGAAAAAATTAATATCGAAGACTCAGTACTAAGATTAGATAACAAAATCCTGGAAAGGGTGGAACACTTTAGATATCTAGATGGCTGGATTGACTGCAGCGTTGAAAGTGACGAGGAAATTTCGACCAGAATAGAACTCGCACGGAAAAACTTTATTAACTGGCGTTCTGTATTATGCAGTAGAAGTCTGTTGTTGACCACACGTCTAAGAGTATTGAAGTGCTACGTCTGGTCCACTTTGTTCTATGGATGTGAAACCTGGACAACAAAAATAAAAAATCTTAACAAACTAGAAGCGTTTGAGTTATGGTGTTACCGTCGCATGCTCAGAATCCCGTGGGCAGCACACATATCAACATCATCAAAATGAGAAAGGTCCAATACTTCGGTCATATAATGAGAGGACTTAAATATCGCTTACTCCGGTTAATCATTCAGGGCTAAATCGAAGGAAAACGTTGGGTCGGAAGAAAACAACTATCCTGGCTGCGTAGCATTAGACAATGGACAGGTCGAACGGTCGCGGAACTGTTTCATCTAGCTGCCGACCGAGAATCATTTCATCAGCTTGTCAATATGACGATAGCCAACGCTTGAATACAAGTACGGCATACAAAGAAGAAGTTTAGTAAATACAGTAATTAATGCTGTCCTATGTTAATCAAATTTTACTTCGACTGGTAACTGGTAAGTTGCTACAAAACCAAGCACACGTACTCATAGTCAATTGTAACAGTATAAATAAAAAATTATTCACATGCAGTATCAAGAAAATAAGACTGCATCAATAAAATAAAAGTGTATATGTTTATATTCGAGATATTATGGTCCTTTATAGATTAGTATTTAGAAGTAGAAAAATTTTATTAAAAATTATTGAATATAAACTTCCATTATTCATTATTATTCTTCTATTTTTTTTTATTAAAGAAGTCTGAAACAGTTATAGCTATTAATAAGTAGTAGTAGGAATTTTTGTATTGTACCTTTCCGACAATGACTGTCAAAATATCCTCAAGCTCAGTGAACGGACAATAGTGATAGTGTTTCGTAATGTGAGTATTTGGACAAAAATGTTCCGTTTCTGCATTTTTTATGGTTACTATACGTTTTTGTTGTTGTTTTTATGTCAACCATAATATGTTATAAGCGAAATAATCATTTTATGTAGTTTGTGTGTTGAGTAAATGTATTACTAATATGTAAAGTAAGCTTTACTGTCTTTATGAAGAATAGCATATGAATACTAATACCATTAACGGGTATCGATCCAATGGACATGATAATTTCCATTCTGTTAATAAAAAAATGAACACAAACATAACTTTTAATAGGTATGTCAAGGTTAATGCGAGTAATTAAAATCTATAAATGTTAAACAAATATTGGGCATGAATTACTCAAAAAAGTTTATTATTTTATTTCTAATGCACCGTATATTTTATTTTTACTTATTTTTAATTAGTTTACAAAAAATGCCCTTAGTATTGCAAATAATTTATGTTAAGCCGACCTACACATGTATACTACAAAAAGTTCTGCATTGCATAAAATCAACCTTCAGTCAGTCAAATATCAAGTTTCAGATATTTCAGTTTCTCCACGTATCCGTCTCTAAATGACTCTCTCCCATATGTTCATGGTGTGACTAAGTAGTTTTATGGCCCTGTAATTTGTGATTGTGGTATATCTTCCTTGTTTTTATAAACAGGTAATAATACACTGTTAGCCAACTTGTGCCTGTCTCTCCTGAAGCTGATCACACTTCCCCAGAAATATCATGAGGAATTACAATTGTTGAGAATATTATTTATAAACTTTGAAAAATTAAAGGCAGATATCGAGCACAATTTTATTCATCAAATCTTGACCAAATACTTTCGCCTTCTAAAGCATCATCAGGGACATTTCGTCAAATTTGGGGTATCCAGCAAGCGCAGAATGTAATAAACATAAAAATAAAACATAAATTGTACATAACACTACACTAAACAAGGACAAACAGTATAAAATTATTTAAAATTATTCAGCGCTACATTCTTGTCGGCAACAGGAGAGAGAATTCTCGCTTTTGGGATATTTATATAAAAGAAAAAGAAAGGAAAAAGAAATATAATAGTATAATTTGAACTTGAACGAAATACAAAAGATCTTACCATATACTCATGGAAAAAGGCACTGATGAAGAATACGGCAACACTGGCTGTTGTCTTTCCATAACCCATCTCAACCATCGGCAAATACAAATGTCGCAAAGCCCACCTATGGACCGGCAGGTTCCAGTTTCTCCAGAAACTATCAATGTTGTTGCAATTCCACCAGTCTCCGTAGAAACTCCTATCGGCGAAGTGTAAAACCTCACCCACTAGATTCAACCATGAATGGAACATTATGTAGAACATACATAGCCAGGCAAGATGGTTCGGAATCTACAAAAATAATACTTACAGACATTTGTAATAACTTTTTAATAAGCTCAAGACTCTATGACATTAATACTAATAACTAAAATTAAGATATTTTCCAATCATTATTTAATGTTTTTATACAATTTACCAAATGATTTTATCAGTTTCAGTTGCCTAATATTTCTGAAATTTCAGAATTCAGAAAGCTTCTATGTTAACGTAGTTTTGGAATCCCTTGTGACTAAAGTTGTAATACGAGCAGTTCTTTGTTTTTCGGCAACATGCTGATGATATGTTATAAAGTTAACATCTTATTTGTATTAGTAACTGTATCTTTAAATTTACGTTCTAGATTTTGTATTTGTTAATAATCTCTAATAACGATATTGAAGAGAGAGGACTTAAGGTTTGTAGGTCGAAAACGGAGTATACGTGGTTAGGAGGTAGAGGAAATTGCTTGGAGAAAACTTGGAAGAGTAGGAGAATTTAAATACCTTGGTTCCTATATTACGGAAAATGGGACACTAGGTTGAGAAATTACCCACAGGATACAGGCTGGTTGGTTTAACTGCAAACAAATGAGCGGCGTACTTTGTGATCGAAAAATCGGGGAAGGGCTAAAAGAAAAGATATGAAAGAGTGTGGTGGAAACAGAAAATGAAGGTAGCTGAAATGAAAATGTTACGGTGAATATTGGGTAAGACTAGAAGGAACAGGATCAGGAAGGACATGATTAAGGAAAAAGCCGAGGTGACTACAGTCTCAAAAAAGATTTAAGAATAAAGACTGCAATGCTTTGGTGATGATCAGACGTAAAAATGCAAACTATGTGGGACAAAGGATGGAGCTGTTGACGGATGGAGAAGTTGACAGAAGAGGTAGAGAAAAACCGAGGAGAAGATGGAAGGACTGTAAGACTTAAGATAGATTTAGGTCAAGAATACCCGGTGGACAGAAATGAGTGGGGACGACGAGTAAGGAACAGCGACCTCTCAAAAGGAAAAAGCTGAGGCAGAAGAATAAAGATTAAGGTCACTTTTACACATGTACCAAAGCGCATTTACTATATACTTTAATACTGTGTTCTAAAGTGTTTGATCAACTGGGAACTTCGTTCCAACTGATGAACTGGTTCTGGAAAATTTAATGTTGGCTTGGCAGCCACATCTGAAGTTTATAAGCCACATCATACTCTAACTCCATAAGTGCCATAGAACTTGCTTACGTAAAAGTTTGTTGTGGACTCATAGATTAGAAATACAAATAAGAAGCCAACACATTTGTCTGAATTTTACATTGTTACGACTTTCTTCTTGATATAATAGCCATTTTACGGAAACTTAGCACTGAAAATCATACTAAGATATTTTGCAATGAAAGTGGCGGTTATGCTGCAGTTTTATTAGAACATCAGTAATATAAAATCGGTATAAGACAGGATCCAACGTACTCCATTTTTTGGTGTTCGATTCGTAGTTACCTTCAGATCGGTATACGAATATTTATTTTAAACCGATATGTAGATACCAGACAAGATTTTGATATTATAAAGATGCCTATAATGGCAAATAAACTTACAGCTAATTTCAACAGTCTTTCGGTCGCCTTGGTGTAATCCATATTGCTAAACGGAATTAAAGAGTTCTTAACGGATGGTATCATGTACTGCTGGATAACACAAAATATCAACTGGACACCCACCATCACTTCCAATATCCTCTTCAAAAGGAATCTCTTTCTTATCCGATCGGTTTTGGGGAAGTTCAATTCATAACATAACGTTGGTGCGAAAAGGAAGTAGTACAAATCTTTAAGGTTTAAGTTGTCGGGATATTGAACCAGTTCGTCAGCTGTGTTCGTTTTGCCGTTGGCACTACCTAAAAATAATTAAAATATACAACAAATACAAATATATAACAGGTGTCGTATGCCTACACTTGATGATAATGCATTTTCCTTATAGAAACTCAAGTAAATATTATTTTATATACCTAAATGTTTGAAATCCAAACTGAAATATTTGAAAGAATCCCAATATATGTCACAAATTTGTAACTTATTTCATAAATCGTAATCTCATTACAAAGTTATAGTATAAAAATTTAATGATAGTTTAAAGTTAAGTTTCGCGATATATATCTGATAAGAAGCAGTAGGAGGAGTTCCACCAGCAATGTGTGCAATGATACTGTATATGGAGAACATTGCCCGCCAGTATAGCGAAACAAAAATTGCCGATTGAAGCCCGTATTCCGTAATACAATGGAAGATCTGATTGAATAAGGTTAGATTTGTTTTTGATTAAAATTACTACATGGTTTTTTATTAAAAGTGGCCTAGTAAGTTAAAGATAGAGGGTTTCAAACGTATTTTAAAGTATACGTAAATTAAATTATACCTGTATGGAATTTTGATCACATTTATACAAACAAAAATTAAAAATACCTTTCGTGTTTCTTAAATTGTTGTAAGACATCGACTGTCTCCTCATGGTACCTTTTCCATTATATTTGGCGATCCTGCACCACATGTTGACTTGGACGTATGACCATAGCTTAAGAAATAAGACGCTGTAGAGGGTGGTTACAACGGAGGCACCAACTGAAAATGAAAGTAACCAATACAATAATAAAAACAATAAGTTTGTTTTATTTAAAACTGCATTTAGTTTCCAATGTAGTTAAATATACTATGTTAGGCTTTTTTCAACAACCAGATTCCAGCCCTTCGATATAAAATTCGAAACATTTTCAATATGCCCATTTAACGCTGCTAAGATCTCTTTATTTGATTCAAAACGTTCTACAGCCACAATTATTTTAGTGATTTGAGATGAAAGTTAAATAGTGCCAAATCTGGTGAATATAGAGAATATTCAAACAAGTCATACATTCAATTAAATTCGATTTTATTGCGTGGTTTTCCCAGCTAATCACTCATGACTTTGGCAGATAGTCAATCCAATGATTTGCTTTAAAACCCCACGAACAGTAACCCAACCTTAAACGATTGAATTCATTTTAAAATGGCATAAACACTGCTCAAAAACTTGATTCCTCGTTTCTTATGATGTTTTTGCTAGGTCTAAAAATAAAGCTAGTTCTACTTTTTGCCACGTGCTCCTTACATTTTGTATATGTGTTTGTTGAAAAATTTAAATATGGACGACTGTCCAGAATTTAACATTCATTTTGTCTTATTAATTAAGAAATTTCCAGGTATTTATAACAACGCAAGTCCGGAGTTTTGCAGAAGGATTGAAATTTCGCCGGATACATATTTAATTATTTAAATGCAATACATCCACTATGCCCTTACATCTCTTTCCAATAAGGGTATACCCAATACTGACGTTGTGGAAGAGTTTTTGTTCACATTGACGTTTAAAAGCGTAAGCATAACTTCATCCTCTTCTTCTTCTTGTAGTTCCTTCTCCTATCGGAGGTTGGCTATCATCATAGCTATCCGTACCCTATTGGCGGCTGCGTTGAAAAGATCTACTGAGCAGCAACTATATACCACTCTCTTAGGTTTCTTAGAGAAGAAATTCTTCGTCTTCGTATAGATCTTTTACCCTTGATTTTACCTTGCATTATGATCTGGACTTTATTCTCAGAGGATGACATTTTTAATTTAACTAGCCTTTTTAATGCCATGCTACTTTAGTGTACGCTAGCTGCTACGCCAGTGCCATGCCCGTGCTCACGCCAGTTTGGTAGGCGCTCTCGCTTAGATCAACATGTTTTGTGTTTTACGGGTTTTACAAGTTTTTTAATATTAAATAAAAATTTTGCTTTCTTGGAATTAATTACCATAGCTAAGAAATCTATGTAAAATATTTTAAGGTTTATTGCTTTTTATTTAAATATTTCAATTAAAATATTTGTTTTATCTATTTAAATATTATTTTAAATGTTGCAGGTTATTTTAACTTAGTTTCATTCCGAGATTTTTCATATTATAATTGGCAATTCTTTTTTTTTTTTTTTTATTTGAAAACTTTTTTTTTGTTCATTCACTTTAACTTTATTAACCTTATCTTTATGTTCCTTATTCTCTGGAATTTAGGTCTTTTCATAAAGCGTGAACACTTGACTGGGTTTCTGTGCTTAAACTTAACGTTACTGTATTTAGAATCTTGATCTCGTCCTGTAAGAAAAATGGACTGGTAATAAATCCTACATGCCATCAGGCTCCATGGATGATGGAGATCCATGGAATAGCAACTAATCCGCCACAATTCAGTTTTCCTAATAAGGGAATTAATAAGTGGAAAATGTGTGGTTTCACAAGTTTTGCCAGCATGTATTCGGAAGATATTATGAATAATGCATTGGCTGATCAAGAACATGGCATTAAAACTACAGGAGAGTAGACTAAAGCTATCTAACACTGAGAGGATTACCTGGGACACATCAAGAGAGGAGATACAGATCAATTACTTTAACTGATAATGTTAAAGAAGATCAATAAGAAGCAGAAGTTATTTCTGGTTAAAAAATCTGCGAAGCTCATTAGAACAAACGCGAACAACAAACGCAATATTACGTATAAAAACCAGACAAAGAAGATATGCTCTAATATTGCAGAATTAGGTTTAATATGTTATTTACTTTAAAATTGTCACCTAGGGTGTTTGCTTTACACAATTTCTTTCCAAAATAATATTAAAATATATATTAAATTATAAAATAAAATAAAATAATAATTTCCTACTTTAAATTATCTCAGATTTATGCAACTTACATTGCATGGCCTAATGTCAACGTTGCTTTCGTATATTTGTATTAATTGTTTCTAATCAAATAGTTCAATACAACTTTATTACTATAAATGATTTATAGAATCCCTACTAATTTCAGTTCCAAATGTTATGAAACTTGGACTGTTGGAAGTTTAATCAATCTTCACCTGTGACTGGCTAACCAGGCCCAACGTAGACTATTAATATGATTTTTTGGATCGACCTCGCTTGTTTGTTCTTTGTTCATCTCAGCCGATCACTGGAGGGAAAATGGTGTTCTCAACCATATTTTCCTTTCATTTTTTGGTTTATACAGATAGGTTGTCGACCTAATTTGTCATATTTTTTAAATAAACCGCTCTATTGTAATAGAGTTGGTAGTACGTCTTGTTGATCTGTCACGCGTTGACCTTAAGGCCTCTGTCTTTTCACGTTGGTGGTGTTACAACACCTGTTGCCTCCACTTCACCGGCAGCAAACTAGAAGCTTGTAGTGGTAACTTCATTATACTTTTAAATTACTAAATTTCAATCAATCACTGTAATAATACTACCTAAAGTCAAAATTAAACCTTAACTATTGATATACTGTTGGAAGTGCATCGTAGATCGTTTAGTTCTTCTTCACATTAATGTGCTTTTTCATATTTTTTACATAATTTTTTTATCCATCCAATGTCCATTTTCAAAAGCTTCTTTATAATTTTAATATCATTAACTGCTACATATCTTTTTGAGGTAACACACTTAATAACTTTTCTTTGGATGTTAGGTTTTTCATATTGTTCTTTTTAGATAAACTGATGATGCTTTCTGATCAGAAAGCGTAACGTCTTCAATAAATAGATGAAGTAGCCATCATCTTTGTATTTTTTCTCCACCTTTTGACCGAAAAACCCACCACTCTTCGAGTGATCCTTAATTTAATATATATAATATATATATATATATATATATATATATATATATATATATATATATATATATATATATATACTTTAATTTGTCACTCACCTAAACTAAAACCATCTTTAACATGGATTACAGCCATGGGAAGTAAAATTAGCACCAATAAATTGATTATATGAACAATCAAACCAGCCGCATTGGGAATAATTTCCTAAAAAAAAACAAAACATTAAAATTATAATTCATAATAACTTTTCTACGAAAAATTTGGGAAAAGGGAGGTTTTTTTACATAAATCATATATTGCTAATTGGGAGAGCAACATATTATTTTAAAGGTGTGTAATTCTGATTATGTATGACCATAATGACACCTTTACAAGATGACTCTTTTCATAAAAGTTGCCTCCGTTACTAGAAAATCCGTTACATAGATGAAATGAAATAAGAGTAAGGTGATAACGAAAGCCTAAATTTAATGAGAATCATAATGCAATAAGAAAGAAGTGCTTTTGGGTAAAGAAAAAAATGACATATAATAAGGAATGTGAGGGTCTACGAGATGTGAATGGGGTTACACGTGAAAGGACGATTAGAATTTATCAAGTGGAATTTATTCAGTATATCTGACACGAATAGTATTTATAATTTTTAATGACAAATAAAATTATATTTTAATTTTAAACATGTTTATGAAATTGCTTGTATTGTTGCCGTATTCGTTTGACCGCGTTTTCTCGAAGTGCTTCAGTGCACTGAGTGACACTGTATGAGTCAGAAGTTTGCTTCTTGCCTATGGTCTGCGTAAATCTCTGCAGCACAGTTGTTTGTGATAATACATAATAGTTTTAATTTCGCTGATCCGAAGTTTTCCTTCTGGACTTTATGTCTGGACTAAAGTATTACTTCTTACTCCTATGTGCAGTTGCAAGTTTTTATAACAACATCAACGCATCTTACGTATACACATAGTAAGTAATGTCTGTCTATGCTTGCAGAAAAATTTAAAGTTTTTACAGACTTATTTGTTGCATTAAGTATAAATAAAGATGTTAGAGACACACACTTGCTGGCATCTTATTCCATTACTACTCATAGCAGAATCTCAAAATATCAAAGAACAACTGATTTTGCCAGCTGTTGAAGAGGTAATAAAAACTGTTCTACAACAGCCTGCACATGATATACTCAAAATAATTCATTTTAGCAACAACACAGTTTAAATACGTATTAATTAAATGAGCCATGATGTTGAAGATTTTTTGTATATATATATATATATATATATATATATATATATATATATATATATATATATATATATTTGCAAACGAAACATTTCCCAATTCAGTTGGGTTACCTGGTACGTTACCTGGTAATGAAGCACTCTTATTGGCATATGTTCGCTGAAATCTAGGAAGAACTTCTCTTTATCGGCAACATGTAGTAGTTCAAAACCTGAATGCCAGGATGAATGTTTGCAATTGATCATAAATGCAGTAAAGAAAATTCGTGGCAACGTATTAAATTCTAGATAATTTGGGTAGTTGTGTCAAGGAAATGACGAGGAATTTCATAGATTACTCCTCTCTAAGATTATGTTTAGGAAGATTTTCCCCACTTTTTTACAGTTTTTGGACAGTAAAGATCCCTATTTGAAAGAAAACTTCGAACAGAAACCAGACGCTGCACTGCTTATTTAACTTGCAGTTACAAGGTACCAGTGTAAATTTAATAAAAGCAAAATCCATCATAGTAACTTTTCTTGGCAGTATAAATCAAATGAAGCAAAACAAACGACGTGAACTTTGCCATAACGGTTAAGTCTACGTTCAACATTTAAATGCACTCCACAGAGATTTTACAACCGGTTTGAAAATGTTTTGACTATGGAAATGACACAGTGGATTAACAACCCATATTGTGACATTGCAAAAATTGATGTCGTAATGCAAAAAGAACTGATCGCAATTAGTACTATTGAAGAATTTAAGGTGAAGTTCAGAAAGAGGCATTAACAGTTATGGCTTTAGAAAGCTGTACTTTTTTCTTATGCTGCAATATGGACTGCCGTAAAAACGTTTTTGGTCTTTTGAACAGCTTTTTCATCTTCTTACCTAGTGGAAAGGAGTTTTAGCACGGTTACCAATCTGCTAACGAAAAAAAAAGGCATAAATTGCAAATTGTTGAACGTGAAGACTTAAGACTCCATCTCACTGATTTAAAGCCACGAATGGGGATCAAAGCATCATGTTCATCCCCTTCATTAGGTAATTGTGTATTAATTCATCTTTCTGTGTATTTTCAATTGCCCAAACAAAATAAAAAATAAATAAATAAAACATCAAAAAGAGAAGCAACGTATTAGGTAGTTATAATATAATCAGAATACGAATAGACGTAGAAATACTATGCGCACTAGCTGATTTCAAATTTCGGCACAAAACGCTAATTTGATCAAAAACTGAGGTGCTTATTTGTATACTTTCATTGTAGAAGCGATTCGCGACGTTAAAAAGTTTTGTGTAAATCAATTTTAATATGTTAATAATATAATCTAATAAAAGGCTAGGACGACACGTCAACGGAAACGTTTGTCCGGGATGGTAACTCCTAGCGCTACCTAGGAAAGAAATCTTAACTACCAACTGACATTTCAACCAACTGACTATGATTCAAATATCCTTACTCGGAAATTTTACTACTTCATCAGTAATTAATTTGTTCGACAAAATATTGGTTATTGTAATTTTAAAGTAATAAGAATTCATAAAAAATAACATTACTCGTGAATCAATAAAGATTTTTGAGTAATAGCATCTAATAAATGAATAAATAATATAAATAAAAATGGAATAAATAATTAAAATATCTTCTGATCTAAAATGTTTCCTACTTACCACAGCCAAACCCTTCTCGGTTAAAAGGCACAAAATTATAGGCACAGAAGAATCTGCAAAAATAATAGTTAAAAAGGACCATGTAAATAATGTTACAATCACTTACAAGCTATTAACACTAAGGAAGGATGTTCAGATCCCGAATCATCCTGACCGGTAAGCATGTAGAACCATTGAACTGGGTCTATTCTAATACCATATCTAAGAATTTCAATAAAATAACATTAAATTTAAAATAATATTAGTTATGCTTTGTTCTTACTTTATAAAATTCTCAAGCAACAGTCTTACGCCTCCTATAGAAAGCAACAAAAATGCCCAGTTTATAAAACCAGTGAAGTTATCAAAACCTGAAGTCCATGAAAACAGCGAGTCTCTTGGTTTGTGAATCCTGTAACAGAATTTTTAAAGTTTGTTTTGATTAACTACTCCATGTGATGGGAATGAACCGCAATTTTAATTAAACAAATTTATTTGCTTTGTTACTTGGAAGAAAAAGAAAAATCTTCTACTAGTTTAATTTTATATGCTTGTTCATAATAACAATTCAGACACACATCATACATTTTACAGTACAGGGCTTTAAAACAGTAGTGTCGGTATTTTAGAGTTTGAACTACTTGACGAAACTCAACTTTAACTTAAGACTATCTGTCAGATAAAATAATGATAGCATATACACACAATATTTGTTGACGCATTTGCTGATCAGTTTGACCCAAATTTGATTGTGGTAAATGATACTATTTTTGTGAGAAATTGTGAATTTAGTTCTAGAAGAGTATTACTCGTTGAATGCATTCTTAATTCGTCAGTCTGGAATCGTCTCCAATTACTTAATCTTCTTGATTCCCGTTAAGAACATTTGAAGAGCTTTTCTGTGCCTTAAAATTTGATACGATTACTGGTAAAGAAGAGTATCGGCAACATTAAAAAGAAGACGGGTTCTAATATGTATTAAATGGCAGATTCACCAATGAAATCTACAATTTTGGCTTTTTTTCTAAATTCTAATTTAAAGAATTTTGGATTGACAATATCTTGTTTTATTTGTAATAATTCTCGTCGTCCACTTTAAAAGAGACACAGTGCATTACAACTGAATGTTTGACGAGATAAGAGGTTCATGCTGGATGAACAACGCTGCGATTTGTTTATTGGTACGCAACTATTTAATCCAGGAAATTCAATGAAGTTTCCACATCATTGAATTAGTCGAGGAACTGAAAATTAATGATCACCTCAAATTGCGGAATTTAATTTAGTCGATTAGTGAGCTATTCAAAATGCAACATCATCGATTTTATCGCAAAGTGACTAATTAAAAAAAAACGTTAAATAATTTAAAAAATTATCAGATTTAAAAACAAATAATCCATTGATTACATTCAAAAAATAGGGCTAAAAGAAACTACAATGTTAAAGGGATTTTATTGTTTCACATTATCAATGGGAACCCAAATATGAAAAAGCCACGGAGTGCTACCCTTTAAAGGAGTGCGTTTTTTAGAAAGAGGTCAATTAGTTCCTATGCACTTGGTACATTTGGGTAATTTCTATACACTGATGTGCAAAATTAACCGAACACTCAGAGTTTTCCTAAAAACTGGCATTTAAAAAAGTTTCAGATGTTCCCAATTGAGTATTTAATAATAAACAAAATTTAAAAGACAAATTTATTACAACTCAAGAATGTTACAGAGAATAAACAATAAACAATTCAAAAAATCTGCCAAGAACAATTTTTTTAAATATAAACATTTTTTCGAAAACTTTCGTAAATAACAGAATTTCTTACATTCATGACAGGGTTGCTTCAAAACACTGGCGATATATTCCTTCTTTATTAAAAAGTGAAGATCACGGATCCCGTAGACTTTCCTGAGAATTTCTTAAATACTTCTGCTTGGTGGATGGGTCCGAAGTTCCTCCGCACTACTTAAGATAACTGGTCATTCTCCTTGCCCGATTCTATCGAATTTAATTCGGAATTAAAACAGAAGAGTTGTCTTTTATCACTTACATCTGATTAATTTGTCGATAATCTCTGTAATCGATTTTCTTCCTTTTCAAAATTGAAACGTATATTTTTCATATGTTCTTAGATTCATTGGTAACCTAAAAATCTATTCGTTTAAAATCTATTCTATTCTTCTGTTCTAAATCTATTATTTACATATCTCCTGCGAGAAGCCGGAAAACAATCAGAATTAACGTACGACAAGCGCTCTCCTCTTCTTTTACCTTCCAAAAGTAATTTTGTCAAATTACTTATTTCGGAAATTCATATTGCACATCTACATGCAGACATTCAAGGTACGCACTTCGCCTTGTCACAAAACTTTTGGATAATTTCATATAAAAACATGTTATTCGTGGTGTTCTTTCAAAATGTTTTTCCTGTTGGAAACTAAAACCTCAAAATTATCAGCCACCTACGGGGGCTCTTCCCAACTCACGAATATCCAAGGTTAAACTATTTTCTTGCGTTGGCGTCGACTCTGGTGATGTTTTTCTGATAGGAGCCAATAAGCTTAAAAATTATAAACGAACCAAAGCCTATATTTTCCTGTTTATATGCTTTGTCACTAAGGCTTTGCACATAGAGTTGGTGTCTGAACTTAATACAGAGGCATTTTTAGCCTCATCGAGACGTTCTATAGCACGTCGAGGACGTTGCTCTGTTGTCTATTTTGATTGCGGAATGAATTTTGCAGACGCAAAATCCTATCTCAAAGACATTTAGTCACATTTTAATACCTACAACGTCTTTACGTGGTATTTAAATCCTCCTGAAGCTTCCCATTTTGATGGATTGTTCTAATCTGGTATAAAAAGCATTCAAACACATAAGGAATTTAATACATTACTTATACAAATAGAGGCTTTTATAGTCTAGTATAGGCTTAAATAATCGCCCGTTATGTCATGTCAGTAATGATCCAAATGAATTTTCAGATATTTTCTGAAATTAGAACCTTTAAAGATAATTCCGATCTGGATTACAGTGATTATTATTACAGTGGTAATTACTGCAAAGATGGCCTACAGACTTTTGGCGAATATGGAGCAAAGAATATTTCCATACTAAGTATCCCTTACAATGGCAAATGTGTCGAATTAAAACTTTAATTTTCGGTCAAGATGGTATTGTTCGCGAAGTATCGTCAAACCGCGAAAGGTGAACGTTAGCGACTTTTAGTGAAACTATTACCTCTGCTATATATTGACTATTATTATTATATGGAGCTGAGATTTGGACATTAAAAAAATGTAATTTAAAAAGAATCGAGGCCTTCGAACTCTGGTTATACCGCAGAGTATTGAAAATATCATGGACTGATAGAATTACAAATAAAGAAGTACTGGAGAGGGTTGGTAAAGAAACAGAACTAATCACCACTATACAAACCAGAAAACTGGAATACCTAGGCCACGTGATGAGGGGACCAAAATATGAAATTTTGAGACTGATAATACAGGGAAAGATTCAAGGAAGAAGATCTGTTGGCCGAAGGCAGAACTCATGGTTAAAGAATCTACGTGATTGGTACCAATGCAGATCGATTGATTTGTTTAGAGCAGCATGTTCTAAAATAAAAATAGCCATTATGATTGCCAACCTCCGTAGGGAGACGGCAGTCTAAGAAGAAGAATATATTGACTAAAAATACAAATATGCATTTTGGTGGGTGGGAATGTTCCGTCCCTCCATACATATTTTTCTTATTATTTTTTACAAAGTATTTTTTATTACTTTTTTTATGTTTAATTCTTTAATTAACGTGTGTTTATGTATTTACGTACATAAACTAACACGGTCCTGTAGACATGTCCCCTCATTAAGGGAGGCGAAGAAGTTTCAGCATGCACACACATAGCTTAATATTAGTATAACCGCAACACTCCAGTTTGTGTAACCATCCTCCCCCCCCCCCCATTTAAATAGACGCTATCCAGCCAGTCCAAAGATTATACACAGTCCAGTGCACTGAAAAAAAGAAGATTAATTCATCTTCAGAGGCACCGTACACTCTATATTTTCTATCCACATACAATATTGAAATTAATTAATAAATTTACAGTAACTTATTTTGGCATAAATTCTCATAATTAATTGATACAATTATACAACTTTTCTTAAACGATAAAATCATACTCAACATATCATACTTAAATAAAAGAATAAACATTTACACAACAAACACTAATGAATAAGAATCAAGATACGCGACGTACTTAAGGTTTAAAACAATAACAGCTACAGGTCGAAATTACCATATGTATTCTATTTCGGAAAAATCGTCCTCATTGGAACAGCCAATGTTGACAGAGATATTCAGCGGTGGGATATATTCCTGTAATTTGTCAACTAACCATATTTCTTTTCAATTCCGATGAAGTCCTACTGTTCGGTAGATACATTAATTTCTAAACGAGTAATCCATATCGATTAGCTAGCTACTGCACACGTTCTTTTTTAAAGTCAATGTTTCGTGACGTAAAACTATGTAACATTAACTTGACTCCAAACCATCTTTACCGGATTCAGTTCACAATGATAGGGAGGCAATTGCCACATTCCAACACTGTAGTTCTCAGCCAAAATTTCGATGTTATAGTAGTCATACATATACTAAGTGACAAATAAATCCAACACCCATTATAAGTTATTATATTTTGAAAAATAAACAAAACGATAAAAACTTTCAATATAATTAAAAGAAGTTACAGGGGTAAATCAATTAATAATGTACTGATGCACCTCGGTGAGCAACACACTCTTGGATGCGCCTGGGCTCGCTTCTAATTAGGTGGTCAACATCATCCTGGGGTATCTCGTTCCATGGCCTAATTAACTCCTGAAGTGCTCCCAAAGTTTGAACAGGATGCTCTAAATTAAGAAGTCCTCGACCTATCATGTTTCATACGTGTTCAATTGGGGATAAATCTAGAGATCTCAGGGGACAGAGCAAAAGTTTGACTATAGCCTGTTCAAAGAAGTTCATGGTGACTGAAAATGCAACAAGCGTACGAAAATTACAAAAGAATAAGAAATGAAACTCATGAACTTGTAAGTTAAAATGAAGCATAATGTTTATGGTTTACAAAAAGAAATATGGCGCTTTATAAGAGGTCAAAGATAGAAGTAAAGAAATTAATAAACCCTAAACACATCTAAAAGGATGAGTGGATTGACTATCTAAAGAGGTTATACAGAACAACCTACGACGTTGGAATCACAAACACCATAAAATAATCATAAACGAAAACGTGCACATAAGCAATCATAAAGTACAACAAATACTTGTTGAAATACGGTGGAGTCGCCATGACGGATCAACTAACAACACTAATTAAGAAGATTATAAGACACAATGAAATAACAGA